TACTTGAGCTCGGCTGATTGCACGCATTACACCCCCTTTGTCTTTATAAAATCCTTTTAGAATTTTATTCATTTTTTTGAAATCTTTTTAGAAACTCATTTTCTTTCAAAATATTATCAATTCCTCAGTTTGAGTTCAGACATACCCGAGAGTGTGCCCGAATCCCTCAAACCAAGGCTCTGATACCAACTTGTAACGTCCCAAAAATTATGAGGTAAAATTTTCATTTTTATTACAATCAAAACACCAATTTTCTTTAAGTCAACATTCAATATCCTTTTTATAAATATTCAAAAGTGCTTTATAAGAAAACAATTATCATATTACAATTCCAAAATCATCATAATGCGGAAACATGAGTGGATGCGTTACGATCAAGTCGGGCCCTTCCCTTTCAAACCGGAAGTACCTGAAACCATAACCATAAAAACCGTAAGCACAAATCTTAGTGAGTTTCCCAAAATACCACATACCATGCATATTAAACACATCCTGGGCCCCCTGCCTTCATCAGGCCTCACCTGACATCGGGTCCCGCCCGACATCAAACCCCACCCGACATCGAGCCCCGCTCGGTATACAGATATGTCAGTCATCAAGCCCCGCCTGACATCAAGCCCCACCCGATACACATATAAACATATAATCATACGAACACATGAGATAATCATAAAGACAATAACATACAATACAGTCATCGATCCCCGCCCGGCATCGGGCCTTGCCCGAAAAGCATACCACACATAACACATGCATAAGTCAGGAAAACATCTAGCATCATAACATAATAAACCATGGGCCGAAATTGGTGCCTTCGACCCGCTAAACAAAGTGAGGAAACTCACCTCGGTCCGCTGATAATCAAATGACTGCAAAGGGTCTCCGAACTAGATAACCGCGCCAACTAACAATAAATACAAATCTTAATCAATAATTATCCCGAAACCCAAAATCTGAGGCCCACTCCATAACCAACTTCCTAAAGGGTAAATACCATTTTACCCTTTTCTTACTTGGCCCAAAAACCAAGGCCCAACCCAATTGCACAAAAAGCTTAAAATGGCAACCCAAAGCCCAATATGGCCCAACTTCCTATTTGGGCCTAAAAACTCTCATTGGACCAATACCAATAAAGCCCATAGCCTAACCATGGCCCAATATCAGAATCCCAATGGCCCAACAAGGCCCAAACTCAAAAATGCCCAAAATAGTTGAACTGGGGAGTACGTCTTGCGTACTCAAGACGTATGCCCCACGTACTCAGCCTTGAAGCACGATGTACAACCGGTTGATGCATAAATCTAGCATTACGCTGAGCATACCCCCATGTACGCCCAACGTACTCGGCAGAGTCCATAAAAACAACATTAGGATCTTAATGGGTTAAGTCAAGATGTCCAAAACATAGATCTGATCCCTAGGCATGGTCTTAACCAATAAAGTTGCCAACTTTACTCTCATACATGCCTTAATGGGATTCAACACTTAAAAGGGAGCTTAATAAGGGTCTTAATACTTGCATGGACCAATATCTTCGATAAAGTTTCCATTTTTATGAACAATAGACCTTATTGGAGCTTAGATCTAGCATCCACTACTTATGGAGTAGATCAAAAGCTCATCTTTACATCAAAGGACTCAAAATGCCAAAGGAACACCATAAAGTAGATCCAACCTAAATGATCATCAAAGTATAAGCTTTTTACCTTAGAAAGCTTGCAAATGAGAAGTTACTCCTAGATCTACAAGCTCAAGCCATTCCTCCAAGTATTCCTCTTCTTCTTCTTCTTCTTCACCACAAAGCACCCACAAATCACTTTTCAAGCTCAAAAATCACCAAATGCACTTCGGGTTCGAATCTAGGGTTTAAAAGGGATGGAGGGTGAAGATATTAGGGTTAGGTGATGAGATAAGGAGCTTAAATAGGGTCCAAGACCCTAAATTAGGGTTTGCATGAAACTAGAGTACGCCCTGCGTACCACCATTATGCTCAACGTACTCCTCCAAGGTGTCATGATCCTTCTCCTTAATACGACCCGCGTACTCCCTATGTACGCCTCACGTACTAGGGTTAGCCTTAAACCCTACCATCTTTCGAAGGCCATAACTTCTTCGTTATAAGTCCGTTTTCGACGATCCTTGTACCCACGGAAAGGTAACGAGAAGCTCTACGCTTCTATCAACTCATACTTGCCTTAAAACTTCCCGAACTATAATCCAATTTCCATAAAAGCCTGAACCGACACTTTACTGATATACCTATTGGCTCTGAAACACAAACCGAACTCTCGGATCATCTAAATTACATTACCCACACCTAAATGGGTCTAAATCTCTCTTTCTCCAAAGGCCATAAGCCTGGTGATACTCGATCTTCGGTTCACCGCCCCGTATTAGGAAACGATTCAGAACAGGGTGTTACACTTTGCATGGCTCAATAAGGCACAAATCCAAACCCTAAGTCCATATAATACTATCAAGCCCAAAATCTCATGCATGGATGAATGTGGGTAAAACCCTGTTTTGAATCGTTTCCTAATGCAGGGCGGTGACCGGAAGATCGAGTATCACTAGGCTTATGGCCTTTAGGGAAAGAGAGATCAGAAAATGCACTCAACACGATTGGGAACAACCCAAGCCTCAAAAGTCCAAATCTTGGGATCAAAAGCATAACATAACATGGTCCAAAACTAGATCTAGAAAAAGTAACATAAAGGTACAAACTTTATACCTCCATGAGCTTGCAAGGATGATGAAGGTTCAAGATCTATGAGCTTGAGCTTCTCCAAGCTTCAATGATGGACTTCTTCTTCTTCTAAGAGCACCAAAAACCCATAAAAACACTCAAAAATCTCAAACTTCACCAATGGGGGCTAGGGTTTCGAATATTAGCTTTTGGGGTGAAAGGAGGCTGTCAGGTTGAGCATGAAGAGGCCACAAGGGAACATAAGGTGTTTATATAAGGTCCAAACCCAAAATTTAGGGTTTCCATCTGCCATGAGTACGCCCATCGTACTAGAGAGAAACCTCGTGTCCAAGTCTCAACGAGGTATGCCCCGCGTACCCTTAATTACGCCCAACGTAATGGTCATTTGTGCAACGATAATTACAATCTATTTTAAAAGGAGTTTACGTGCGATCTAGGCGTTACAATCGAACTTAATTCATTGATACATGCAAAGAGTCCAAAATATCACTTTTTCCCATTCAACCCTTTGGCTCCAAAACACAGTTGAAGGGCTTAAATCATTTAACCAACATTATCAACATCCAATAAGGTCTAAAATTTATTCTCTTGAAGCCCAAGACCTTTACTCGATCAAATTACGGTCCACTATCCCAAGATCAGAAATATCCTGAAACTGGATGTTACAATATTTTTGACGATTACAACTCAAGTAAAATATTTTATCTCTGACACACTTTCATCCGAGTTTTCACCGAACCAAGAAGAAAATATAATTTTCCAAATATTTATTACTATTGTTATCTCATTTATTATTTGGTTTGATTAGCATAGTTTATGCATGTTGTTTCTTGGCCTTTATGGATC